CGAGGTACCGCGCAGTCCCGTCCCGAGGTAGACCTCGCCGTCCCTGGGGGAGGGGGGGGGGCTGCGATCTGCGAAACCGTCGCCACTTTCGAAGGCTGCTGGCGGGCCCAGCGGAGTGAGGCACAGCGCAGACCTGAGCGAGACCTCGCCGTCCCTGGGCAATTTTTTTTTTCAAAAAAGAAAAAGCTCTAGCGTGAATCCGGAATCCGGGATCCAAAATCCGGGAATCTGGAATCCAAAATCTGGAATCTGGAATCCGGGAATCGGGAATCTTTGTATCCGGGAATCCAGAATCCGGAATCGGGAATCTTTGTATCCGGGGATCTGGAACCCGGAATCCGGAATCTGGAATTCGGAATCCGGACCCAGAGGGACAAAACTACTAAGATTTTAACTGTGCTAAACCAACACACTAACATATTAGGAAAACACTAAATGTTTAGTATTTTTCCTTTCTTCATGGTAAATAATATTCAACCTCGCACACTTACCAAACTACTAAAAAACAGTGTTGTCGTCGTCGTCGTCCGTCGTGGTCGTCGTCGTCCTCATCATCGTCGCAGTCGTCGTCGTCGTCGGGGCGAGCAGGAATGACGGAGCGAAGAGTAGACGGAGGAGGACGGGAGAGAAAGAGGGGCAGCTGCCGTCCCCGAGTCGAACCGACCCTTCCTTCCAGGGATGCGCTCTGGCCAGGATTTCGAAGCGTGCCCAGCCGCGGCTGCGAGAACTCCCCAGGAAACCAATGCAAAACGGAACCTCCCCCGACTCGACCCCACTCCCGACTTGTTAGGGGTGAAGCGCACATTTCACTTCTCGCACTTCGAGCCTCACACTGCACTCGCTGAGTAACACTGCGCAGAAGCCGTGAATGATCACGCATCTCCGCGCACAGTCGCACCAGAACGGACAGCCATGCGAATCAGCGGTACTGTAGTTGCCCCATTCCCTGTCTCTTGTCACGTTTCTGTCTCGTTTCTGTCACGTTTCTGTTTTCTGTCACGTTTTTGTCGCCGTTATGCCGCGTTGAGGTGCAGTCGGGGCGCTGAAGAAGGAACCCTTTTCGTTGGGGAAGGGGCTCGGTGTTCCTTCATTGTTTAACAGTTTGCCTTAGGTCTTCCTGAGGTTTTCCATGGGACATCGATGTTTAACGTATGAGAAACAGGCGCCTCGCTCCTTACTTAGGGTTCCTTAGGTCAACGCCCCGACTGTATTATGAATCGTTTCTGTTGCGTGTTATGGTCCCTGCAATCTTTCTGTAGTGTTTCTGTTTTCTGTCGCGTTTCTGTTGCATTTATGTTTTCTGTCACGTTTATGTTTTGTGTCTGCCCCTTTGCTGTAAAATTCGCTATGGGCGTGACCGCGGGCACCCAAGCCCGAGCTCCTGGGTTAAAGGGAGCAGCATTCACAAACGACAAAATACTGCGCTCAATTGATCTTCGAATCAACGAGCTCGCAGTTCCTATACTGCCGCACGAGCTCTGAATGCAGCGTCAAACAGTGATGCAACTTGGCGCGTCGGACTCCCTCGCCGATCTCGCTCTCGTCATTATAGCACCAGCTATCTCTTGGATTATCGACCATGGCGACCTGGTCCTCAATCACATGATTGAAAAGATGATGTTTTGGAAAAATCTTCCACAAAAGAGGGGATCCTGCTGCTAGAGATTCCATCGACAACTCCGTATATAATAAGAGGTGTTGGACACCAAATGCTTTAATCCTATCCTGTGATACGCCTGACCTCCAATCGCAAATCTCCCTGTACATATCTGCTAACTTTGTGACGCACTGCAACCTCATCTGGTCGTGGGCGCTGGCGTGGGGGAAAAAATTCTCCAACACGTACTGGGTGAGCGGGAGCATGTGTCGCGCCTCCGCAGCCTTCAGTTTGAATTTTGGGCCCTTTTTCGGTTGTTTTATCATGGTCAGCGTCAGGGTATTGATCGGTGGCTGACCGCCCTTCACGGTCTGCTTCGCGGCCACTCTGATGAGCGTCATAAGTTTTGCCGAAACCTCTTTATTCTTTTTACTCTCATTATCTGTGGATGTGCCCCCCAGCGATAACCACAGCTCGAAGTAGACGTTCCCTAACAGGTACAGCACTATGCCTGGGGCGGGATCAAATCATTGGGACGAATCGACTGCCATTGCTTCGTTCTGTTTGTTATCATGTTGTTATGTGTTATGTTGTTATTTGTGCTCGTCTGTTGTTTGTGTTTGTGTTTGTCTGTTTGTCTCTCTGTTGTGTTTGTCTGTTGTTTCTCATGTTGTTCTTTTTGTTGTTTGTTATTTTGTTTGTTATTTTGTTTTGATGGTCTTGAGGGGTCGGGTTATCACAGCGCTGGGAACCGAGGTCGCCGACGTGCATCAAATCCACAGATACATAGGAAAGCTGGAAGCCAGGCCACGAGAAAATCGTCGAAACGAATCGCATTTCATTTTCGGCTGCCCTCAGATAGCTTTCGTGGGAGTGGCGCTCGGCTCTCCAAGGGGCTTCCTCGTCGCACCTCCTGAAGTCCCTGTCGGTGGTGTTAGCAGAGCACATCCAGCACGCGCTCTTCTTATGGCCCTCCCCGCGCCATCCAGTCATGCCGAAAGCTTGTTTCATCCACGACCAGTCTCCTCGAACCTGGAGGCAAGCTGCCCTGACCCGCACGCTGCAGCCTGCCATGTCAGCGCGGCCCTGGTCACCGAGGAACGTCGAATTCGCAAGCGAGATGCCGTCGTGCCTCTGGTACGGCAACTTCCCTACTGCCATGGCATCCAGGGACCACCGCATGACGGCCCAAATGCATTCGAACGTGTGCCGCCCTTGACAGCCGCACCCGCACGTGTGCCTGCGCGGGCGGGCCAAGCGCCCTCGGAAGTCCGAGAGAGAGCAGTCAGGGTCGCGCTGTCTACGAGCAAATTTCAACTGATAGGGATAAACAAAACCACAACACAATCAGAAGCGATGAAAACTGCGCGCCCCCTGACCGCTCACCCCCAAACGAGCGAGGTGAATTGAAACGAACTGATGGCGGCCTCTTGGGGAAGGCGGCGAACCAGAAACGTTTGTGGTGCCTCCCACTGATAACGTTAAACACCATCATGTAGAGGCTGTCGCGGTGCGCGTAGGGCGCCGCATCCCCCCACACGCCTAGGGACAGAAACCGCTCCTGCATCACGGGGAGCTTCAACCGATCTCCCCATTCCAGAAGGGTGCGCTGCAATCCGGGTCGAGAGTCCCCGAGGTCGCTCCACTCGCTGTGATTATCTGGGCGAACAAAATAGTCCAGGATCTCGTGGGGTAGCAGGAATGACATCAGCAGATCCTTCTTTTGTTTAGTTTTATTGTCCCACCCCGAGACGAACGCCTGGTACAGGGGAGGTAGAGGGCACGACTTATCGAGCTTGCTCATGATACTGCGGTAGGGTTTATTCGAGTGGGCCTCGAGCACCGACCCCCAAGACTTTAGTTCCTGCGGGCACTCTCTAGGGCAGCACACGGACACCGCGCGGGAGCACTCTGCCATATCAGTGGCAGCGATCTTGCCTTTGTAGTATTTACCCCGCAAGAACTTGGACAAGTCCTCCTCGCCAGGCCGCTTGGCCCTGCAGCGATCCTGACCGAGGCTGGGGCTCAAAAAAAAAACAGCGGAGGCAGAGGCTACCTCGGGGCACGGACCTGGGGGCTACTATGGGGCATGGGGGTAATTCTGGCTTCTGGCGCCATCTTCCTTATGCCTCTCCGCAGCAAGCGTTGGCGGCGGCGGCGGCGGAACTGCACTGGAGGCCTCGCCATCGCCTTCGCTGAGACGTTGCCTAATGCCACCACCGAGCGTCATAATCTAAATCAGCCTTGATCCAAAAGCTGCCGAGCGCAGAGCGTCATCGCGCGTCGGCAGCAGCAAGAGAAGAGTGAGCATGTACAACTGGGCGATTACTGCTCACCGTCAAACTATTCCTATGTTTCTGTCGTCTGTCTGTTGTCTGTAGCGTTTCTGTCTGGTTTATTTTTCCTGACGGATGTTTGTATTCGGTTGTTTGCATGTTTGATGTGTGAGTTATGTGTTATGTATCGTGTATGTTTGTTGTCTTGTATAGTTTGGCCTGTTTTTGTTCTGTATGTTATATGTGTTATGTCGTGTTTCTATGTGCTGTAGTGTTTGTTTCTGTTGTGCGTATGTTGTGTTTGTGTGTTTGTTTCTTGTGTGTATGTCGCTTTTTATATTGGGTTATGTAGCGATTATCGTGGGTTTCTGTCGTGTTTCTGCTTTCTGTCGTGCTTCTGTCGCATGCCTACTCTTCGTTGCCTGGGAGGCGAGCGAGGGCAAATATATAATATATTTCCCAAACCCCGAGTGCAGTGTGACCACTGACAAGTTGAAACCCCTAAATGCATGCATGCACCGCCGTCGGATTTCTGTAGTTTTTTATGTTTTCTGCAACGTTTCTGTCGGGTTTCTGGCGGGCCTCCCTGGGCCCAGAAATCAGGGTCGGGCACTGTGAAATAACGGATCCAAAATCACAGGACGCGGCGGTGCATGCAGGCGAATCACAGTCGGGCAAAACCGCTCTGGCCTCCAGCGGGCGCAGGCATGCCCTGACCTAGGAGCTAGCTCCCGCGGAGCCCTTCGGCGTCTTGAAGCTGTCGAGGTTGGTCGCCTTCCACTTCGCGAACACATCCTGGCGGGCAGGGGCGGGGCGACGACGGGGCGCGACGTGGGGCGGGGGAATCAGCCCAGCAACCGAGTTTTTAGACCATCATGTTTGACTACACAGGGGGGGGGGGGGGGGACGCCAGATAATTCCAAAGAAAGCCCACCCCACACGTGCCCCCGTGAAGGGCCCCCCGCGAGGCCCCCCTGGAAAGCGAAACGGGGCAGGAGGAGGAAGAGGAGGAGGAGGCGGAAGAGGAGGCTCCGTAGCGATTTCGGCTCAAGTCGTTTTAGCTCAAGTAGGGGGGGTGATGAGAAGGGCCAGGAAATTGACGAGGGTGAATTCGCCCCGTCGCCGTCCTTCTTCTCCTTGGTCGCCTTCGCGATCTTGTCCGTCAACGCGTCGATGCTGGCCGACGACGTGTTGTCGCGGGTCATCTCCCCGAGCTTGGTCTTGTTGGGCGTGTAGACTTGCAGGAGGAACTCGTCGACGATCTTCCTCTGCTCCACTGCGCTCTTCGTCAACCAGTCCTTGAGCGCAACAGGGTAGCCCTTGGCAACCACCTCCTTGCACACGGTCGGGACCTCCGCGAGCGCGCTGCTCGCCGCCAAGGCGAAGCCCTTGGCGTCCTTCAGCGCCTTGTCGAACTTCTCCTTGCTCTCGCGCCAGACCTTGCCCTCGGGGTCCTTGGCGTCCTCCTCCGCCTGCTTCGCCTCCTTGGCCTTTTTCTTGGCCTCCAGCTGCGCTCTCTTGAGCTGCTTGGCTTTCTCCTCGTCGTTCAGCTCGTGCACCGAGCTCTTCTCCTCTGGCGAGCCGAGGCCGCTGGGGCCACCTGCCGAGCCCGCGGCCGAGCTGGAGGGCGCGCCCTCCCCCAGCGGCTGGTTGACCATGGCGCCGCGGATCATCGCGAAGTCACCCGAGGACAACTCACTCTTCGACTTGATGGACGTCTTCTCGTCGCGGCCGTCGGTGGAGATCTTCTTCCTGTCCGTCCAGCAGAACTGCGGAATCTGGGCGTCGCGGAAGATCTGCTCCTCGTGCGGCCTGGAAGGAAGAACTTTCGCCCACATTGCCGCATGCTCTGGGCAGCCCGCGTACAGCGGGCCCGCCATCTGCACCTCGGTGACCCAAATCTCGATTTCGTCGTTCTTCACGCCGTGGTTGACCTGGCTCGAGGGGTGACAATTAAGGAGGGGGGCGAAGAGGAAGAGGAGGAGGAGGAGGATGGGAGGGGAGGAGGAGGAGGAGGAGGAGGAAAAGGAGGAGGAGGAGGAGGAGGAGGAGGAGGGGGAGGAGGAGGAGGAGGAGGAGGAGAAGGAGGAGGATCAGGGTGATGGGGAGGATGGGGGACTCGGAGGAGGGGTGGCGAAGCGAGGAGGGGAATGGAGGGAATGAGGCGAGCGACCTCAACAGTCGTCTCGCCCTCGCAGCCGCCACTCGAGGGGTCGATGGCGAAGCGCAGCAGCCACTGGCGCTTCTCTGCGTCCGACCTGGCGGACGGAGGTGGAGGCCGACTACGACGACGAGCCGTCAGACGACGAGGACGACTAGGAATCGGAATCGGCCCCATCGGACCTCCCCCCGCAGGTGCCCCAGGGAGGGGGGAGGGGGGGGGGGTGCACCTGTGAAAGGGGAACTAGAAGAGGTGCGCCGACTGCATCGCTCGCAAAAGCTCGGCGAAACATAACCTCCCAGGAGGAGGAGGAGGAGGAGGAGGAGGAGGAGGAGGAGGAGGAGGAGGAGGAGGAGGAGGAGGGGGGGAGGAGGAGGAGGAGGAGGAGGAGGAGGAGGAGGAGGAGGAGGAGGAAGAGGAGGAGGAGGAGGAGGAGGAGGAGGAGGTCGACGTTAACCGTTTGGCTCAAGCCCCAAACGACCGAGCGGTGGCGTCGTACCTGCGGTATATCGTCGGCGCCTGCGTGGTGAGCTTGTAGTTCATGCCAGCGAAGGCGCGCTTGAGCATGTCGGCGGGGAGGGCGGTCAGGAGGTCCTGCTGGCTCATCTTGGAGATGTCGTAGTCGTTCGCCCTGAGGTGGTCCAAAGCTGCCTGCACCCCCTTCGGCATCTTCCCCTGGCTCAGCGCCGCCCGCTCGTCGCTCGGCTGCGCTGGGGCGGGCTTCGGCGCAGCTGGGGCGGCCTTTCGCTGAGGAGGGGCAGCTGTTCCCGACGATGGGCCTGCGGCGAAGGTCGCCGCCTCAGCTGGCGCCTCGGCCGCCGCCCCTGGCAGCGGCCCCACGGGCATCGCCAGCGGCGGCGCCGAGGCTGGCCCCTCGGCCTCCAACTTGGGCTCGAGCTTGACAGTCGACGGCTGGATGACGGCGTCCTGGCCCTTGCCCTTCTTGCCCTTGCCCTTGCCCTTGATCTTCCCCACCTTCCCGAGCTGGTCCACGGGCGGCGCGCCCCCGCTCTTGCACGACATGGGGGCTGGTGTCGCTGGCTGCTTGCCGTCGATCTTGTGGCGCTTGACCAGCGGCGAGTCGGACCCGCCCTCGCTCGCAGCACTGAGCGTCTCGTCATCGATCGGAGATGTTGCCGCAGGCCTCTTCATCTTGGCCTTCGGCTTGGCCCCCCCCTTCGCCTGCGGAGCCGCCAGCGCCTGCACCGCCGCGTCGGCCTGCGCCTGCGCCCTCCGCTGGACGGCCGTGACGACGGGGTCGGACTCGTCGGCGGGGGCCTGCGACGCCTTGCGAGCCGCGCGGGCCATGGCTTCGTCGCTGCAAGACGCAGCCCGATCAGAATGCAACGCAATCGAAAGTGCCACAGCGGCGCCGCGCTGGAGGAGGGGGAGGGAGGACGAGAGGACGGTGGCGGAGCATGAGAATGGAGCGGCGAGGTTTTGCGAGGAGGAGGAGGGGGAGGATGATGGGGGAGGAGGGGGAAGAGGAGGAGGAGGAAGAGGAGGAGGAGGAGGAGGAGGAGGAGGAGGAGGAGGAGAGGGAAGGGAGTCTCGAGCGAGGTGTAGTGCGGCGCCGCTTCGGCCGTTCAACTGCTCGGGCCCGCGGTGAGCGGGCAGCGGCTCGACGTGGTGACGGCTGCGTTGGCATCCCCCGACGCGGCGGGGAGTCCGCCAGATAAACGACCCTCGACGAGGCTAGCATTGTGGATGAGGTCGAGAGCGCCAGTTATTCCTGGATGAATATATGTATCCAGAGGCGGCACAACGAGACACAACAGACCCTGTATAAACGATCCGAGGCGAGGCCAACATCGATGAGGTCGAGAACTCAACCTGCTTCCTGTGGAGTTGTGGATTCTGTAATGTTTCTGTTGGCAGTCTGCTTCCTGTCAAGATCTGCGCTCGGAGGTGTCGGAGCCGTTTTTTTTTGTTGGTTGTTGACGCATGTTTTCTGTAATTTTTCTGTAGTGTTTCTGTTTCTGTTTTCTGTAATTTCTATGTTTTTCTGTAGTGGTGCATTTCGCCTGAGAGTGAGCTACAACTACAGACTACAGAAACATTACAGAAAACAGAAACAGAAAAATTACAGAAAAATTACAGAAAATCTGGTTCGTTTTCAATCCGCTCCAGAACTCCGGAGGTTCCGGAGGTTCCGGAAGTTCCGGCCATTGGCTGCGAGACGGCTTGGGGATCCCGAGGAGAAATGATATGAAAGGTTCCACATTTACCTCGAGCAGGACGAAGTGTCGAAGCCATATTCACAGTAGCGGCAACTTCGTCTGCCGAGGCTAGCTCAGGCCTCCTCGAGCGTGTCGCCAGGATCCTCGGCGCGCCTGAAGGCAGGGAACGGGTTCCTGTAGGCGGAGCTCGAGGCGTCGGACGCCGCCCGCTTCAGGCTGCGCTTCCTGGGGCTCTCCTTCACAGAGACGGGGCTCCCCTGCGCGAGAGCGCGCGCCATCTGCTCGTCATTCTTCTCCTGCTTGTACCGCCTCAGCGCCTCGGGGTCCTGCATGAGGCGCGCGAGCTCAGCGTCGCCCCGAAGACGCTGGGCCCCTGGCCTGCTGCAGCCGAACTGGTCTTCGAGCGACTCCAGCGCCTTCCTGGCTTCCTCGTCCGATAAGTCCTTCCCGAACTGCAGGCCGTCCAAATCCTGTGAAACCTCCTCGACCTCAGGGCTGCTCAAGTTCTCGAGCTTCTGGGACAGAATGAGCGTGTCAGCATCATCGTCGTCCTCCTCAGCAGCATCAGCATCTGCGCATGACTCTGAGCACGGATCTGCGCCGTCGCCCATCACGTCGGTGTCCTCGGGCTCTGCGCGAGCCTCGGCAGCCTCGGGCTCTGCGCGAGCCTCGGCAGCCTCGGGCTCTGGGCGAGCCTCGTCGGCATCGACCACGTGGCGCATCTTGGCGTCGTCTGACTTCTGCCACTTGAGCCCGTAGGACATCGTGGTCGCGACCAGCGCGACGGGGGCGTCGAACCAGTCGGGCGGCCCCTTCGCCCCCCTGTGCTTCTCGAAAATCGATAGCACCTTGCGGCACCACCTGCTGGCCAACAGTGGCGAAAAGCAAGATGCCGCGGCATCGTGCTCTATGTCCATCTCGGGCCCCCCTTGGGGCCGTCTTGGAGCCCTCTTGGAGCAGTCTTGGGGCCCTCTTGGGGCCCTCCTGGTGCTTTCTTGGAGCCTCTTGGAGCACTCTTGGGGCTCCTTGGAGCCTCGCGAGGGCTCCAAGGGGGCTCCAAGAGGGCAAAGCAACAACAACAACAATAATAGTCTACAAGGCGATGGTGCTATAAGGCTAAGGGGTTACAGGGCCAAAAGGCATATCGCGAAAACGCTGCAGGGCGATACTCAGGCAAATTTTTGAAATTTGCCTGAGCATCGCCCCTCAGTGTTTTTCGCCCTCACCAACAACAACAACACCAACAACAACAACAACAACAACACTTCAACAACAACTGACTATTTGATGGGCACACGTTGTTTTATCTCTCTCTCTCTCTCTATACATATATATAAAAAAATGTTTTGTTTGTGCCCTCTTGGAGCACCCTGGAGCCCTCTTGGAGCCGTCTTTGGGCCTTCTCGGGGCCCTCTTGGGGCCCTCATGGGGCCTCTGCGATGCGGCGGATGGCGATGTTCCTGGGGCCGCATTGGGACCCTCCTGCGCCCGCTCTGGGGCGGCGGGTCTCGGGCCCCAACCTTGCCCCCCCGCCTTCGGGGGCGGGGGGCTGAGTTGAGGGGGGGAGGAGGAGGAGGAGGAGGAGGAGGAGGAGGAGGTGGAGGAGGAGGAGGAGGAGGAGGAGGAGGAGGAGGAGGGGGGAGAGAGGAGGGAGGAGGGAGGAGAAGGGGGGGGGAGGAGAAGGGAGGAGGGAGGAGGGGGTAGTAGTTGGCGGGGCATCGGCAGCTTTTCGAGATGCCCTAGGACCTAAGCGGGTAGGCGTTGGACACGTCACCAGTCCGCGCGCGGGCGACGGGCTTCTTGCCTACGATGAGGGCGACCCACCACGCGTTGCTGGCGAGGCGCAGCGGCTCCATCGGCGTGTTCCTCGGGTCGCGCTTCTCCACGGGGTCCTGAGGGATGCGACCGAGCGGAGGGGGGAGCTCGGCGCCCCGATGCCAGGCCGAGGTTCCGAGTTAGCTTCGATTGGGCCCCCCGAAGCAAGCTATCAGAGGATTTGCGCACGGGCCCAGATTGGGCCACCCTTGCGGACAATTTCATCCTCCTCATCCTATTCCTTTTTCTCCTCCTCCTCCCCCTCGTACCCCTCCTCATCCCCTATCCTCTTCCGATTTGTCAATCTCCTCATCACATTCCTCACCATCTTCCTCCGCTTCGCCCCATCCACGCTGTCCGCGTAGCGCTCCATGTAGTCCTCGGTGGCCCACCAGGAGCTCTGCGCCATGAGCGACAGCCTGGGGGGCATGGAGGCGCGCGACAATCAGCGCGCAGGGGAATGAGGCAGAGGATGACGACGATGAGAAGGAGGAGGATGATGAGGAGGACGAGGAGGAGGAGGAGGAGGAGGAGGGGGAAGGAGAGGGAATGATGAAGGAATTGGGAAGATGAGGAGGAGGGATAGGGCGAGGAAAAGGAGTAGGCGGATGGGGGGAGGAGGAGGGGGAGGAGGAGGAGGAGGGCAGGGCAATGAAGGAATGATGCGCTTGTAGGAGTCTTCACTGCCCATCAGCCATAAACTGTATTTCCAGAAGCTGCTGTTGGACGGCGTCTCCACCACCACGTGCACGCCCCGCTTCGCGCCGACCCACGCCAGGTACACGACGCACTCCCCGAACTTCTCCTAGCGCGGGCACTGATCCACCCTCCGCCTCGGCCCCCATGCAATGATGTCCCTTACAGCGAACACGTGCGTTTAGGACTGGTGGCAAGGACGCAACCGAAGTTGGGCGGCTAAGGGCGGGCCGCAGAAACGGCGAAGGACGGGTTGCAGAGGCGGGGACGCAAGGGCACCCTAGGGGAAGACGCGCGCCCTTACTAGGCGCGTTGGCTGTACACCCTCCGCCTGCGCATCCTCTCTCTTCCC